TATTAACTTGTATTGGCGAATGTTAATGGCGTTAATACGGTACAAGGTAAAGGACGAAGTAGGAAAGAGAAAGAATAGAATATATATTCTGGTTATTACCAGAGATATTTAATTATCATCGCATTCTCAAGAGTTTAATTTCATTGTTGCCAATTGTGTTTATTCGTATCCTCGAAGGAAGGTCGAATGAATCGATATTATAAATCGCGCACCTAACCCGACAATTAAATCCGCATTGTTATATTCAATCGGTCCAATTTCTGCGAAAGGATCGTTCGACGTTAGTGTTCATCGGCTTCATTCTGATTCAATCATTGCACAATGTCCTTTCACATTCATTAAATTAGCTTCTTTGATGTAACATTGTTAACTCGTAACGTTACCGATCATAATTGCTAACGATATATCGACTTTGCCGTTATTTCCCCCCCCCTTCTTTGTTTTTATTATAGATGAGATCGTGTTCAATACTGATTAATCTCGTTTACATTATCACCGTATCGTATACGGTTTCGGGACATCCCTTTTCATTCCTACCACGGCATGCTGTCGAACGAGCTGCAGAACGTAGGAGCATAAGCAGGCAAATAGTAGAGCACAGCACCAATTTCTTAACACCATTGGACTATGGCGTGCGAAAGGTATATGCAAACATAATTATTCCTTTTTCTATTATTTCGAAAAATAAACTTTTATGAAAGAGGGAGGAAGGGAGAACCCCCAAAAGATAGATGAGTTCTAAATAGAAAAAAATTTCAAAGAACATATGATTAATACAATATTAATATAAGTGAAGCAACAAATATTAATATAAGTGAAGCAAGGATATAAAATGATAATTGCTTTGAAAATACATTCTCAATTCACATTTTGATTCTCACAGCCTGTAGAACCGTGGACCAAAATCACACAAAACCCAGTAAATGGCATCGAGACTACTTTGGGGTGAGTATCATATGATAAGATAATAAAAGAATGAATGTAACAATCATATCGATAATACTGTCTTTTTTCCTCTCTCTGTTATTATAGAAGCAAAGTGGAATTGGAATGTAAAGCTAGTGGCAGCCCTCCACCGGAAATTTTCTGGTTCACGGGGAGCGGCAGCTATGAAGATGCGAGTATTACAACCAGACACTGTGTTACAAGCAGACCAGTTCTGATATTATACAATCAATAGGAAAGAAGAGGTTATTAATTTTCAATATCCTTTTTGTGATAGTTGGCCGCGTACGTGAAAGCCAGCACGCATTCCTTGTATGATCCATCCGAAGAGTGGAAAGGAGTGGCCAGAATTAATTCAAAACTTGTGATAGAATGCGTTACTCCGGATGATGCTGGATTGATCTACTGTGCGTCGGTTTCTGCGAGAGAGGTGAAGATCTCTACTCCTACGGTGCTCTTGGTTAACCGTAAGTGGAATACAATTAACAATTAACTATCAATCATCTGAACCTGCATTAACATGAAGAAGCTTTGACCAAATGCCATGCAAAACCCTCTTTTCTCTCACAATTTATTCGTATATTTTGCTAATAAGTGATTCGTGAAACTCTTTACTTTCTCTCTTCACATTTTCCCATATATTAATTTGGCGATCAAGTTCAACATCAGTTGTCATCATCAGCTTTCATTATTTTTTTTATATGATTATAATAATGAAACGATTTGAATCTCATCAAATGGTACGATGGATTTGGTACTTAATTTTCTAATCTTCTATGAATTGTGGTTCTTTTATAATACTAGACAAATTTTGAACAGTTCAGAAGACAAAAATTCATCATTCAACGACTTCTTTTTTGATACAGATGAAGGTAGTACCGGTAACTGCAGTTCTGAGAGTGATCCAATAATCACCCTTTACTCGCCAACATTGGTAGCCAATATTGGAGCGACTGTTATATTGCCCTGCAGAGCCACTGGAAAACCAACGCCACAAATCACTTGGTTGGATAACTACAACGTACCTCTAAGCCTATCAACTAACTTGCGACACAAAGTATTGGATAGCGGTGACTTATTGATAGAGGAACTCTTATGGGAAGACATGGGTGGCTATATTTGTCAAGCCAAGTCTGAAAATCAACAACAAGTCGTCAATACATTCCTTTACCCTTTACGCGTAGGTCTCTATATTTTTATTTAAACTTAATAATTTAGTATTGATGAAATAGAAAAAAATTGCTAAAACTTCCTAGCCATTTTTAATAAAACATAAACAATTTTAATAAAAAAACAAGAAAGAACTTCTTAATTATAAAATTAGGAAATAATTAAAATAAATATATTCTCACTTTATTTTTCAGCCTGAGAAGGAAGTAGCTCGAACAGTCAACTAAATAATTGTCCCAAAAATGAACCCAGTCAGTCCGATCTCGGGCTATCATTGTATGATATACCGCAATCTTCTTGAGCTAAATTTCGCTCTTTGTTAGCGTTCAAATGGTATTGTTTTTTCAGTATAAGCATATTATATATAGAATTATACATATTACGATACTGAAGACATGACAATGCATTTAAAAATCAACGACGCTATATTTAGTAATTATTGGTTAAAACGCAGCCGCTATTTTACTTAAAATTCTATAATAGATATTAAGATGCCAAAGAGTTTGTATTTGATTATGATAAAAATTTAGCAATTTTAAAATAGCGATTTTTTAAAACTATTTTAATATTTAATTATTATCTATACTGCGATATCTCTCGAATGAGGTGTTATAGTTTAAACGAATTATTTATTTATTATATATGTACATTGGAAGTGAATTCAGTAGGCAGGCATAATGGAAGACGCTTTGATTAAGAGAAGAATCAATTGCTTAATTCTAGAAAACTCGATAGAAAAGAAAGACGCTAATCATCCGACTTCGATTTTTCTTTTACTTATTACTTATTAGTATTAATTAGTACTTTTTACTTATTTTGAGTATTTTAGTTTCTTATTTGTTTGAAATTATCATAATCTATTGCCTATTATGAACCGCTATATTTTTATGTATAAATATATTTAATAAATATATTTCATTTCGTACAGTGTTTATAAATTTGTATTTTCTCTAGATTGAAATTAAATTTCTAAATTTCTCTAGATTGAAATTAAATTTCTAAATAAATATTCAATTTATTCAATTTCTTAACCAATGCAATAAGTTCAAAAAAATGACCTTGTGAATGAAAGATCATAGTCCAGCCGATAACGCTATATCATTGTTACTGAAAACACATGTCATATATTTGTAACATTTTCTAATTGAAAAATGGCAAAAAAATTGGTTGCAAAAATTGGACCTTCAATTCTTAACGCTGATTTGGCACAACTTTCAGAAGAATCGCAAAGATTAATTAATAATGGTGCTGATTATTTACATTTAGATGTTATGGATGGTCATTTTGTACCTAACCTTACTTTTGGCCATCCATTAGTAAAATGTCTTCGAAATAAAGTAAAAGATGCTTTTCTTGAAACGCACATGATGGTCTCTAACCCTAATCAGGTATACTTTACCTTGGCATTTCTTCAATTTAAATTATATATTATTTTTGTATACTATTTTCAATCATATATTATTTTTGTTGATGTTTTGAAAAAATATTTATAAATTTTTAACTTTAGTGGATACAACCAATGGCTGATGCTGGTGTCAACCAATATACATTTCATGTCGAACCAGTGAAGGATGTTTCATCAATTTGCAGAAAAGTAAAAGAAGCAGGAATGAAAGTACGTATTTTGTATAATCTCTTAAATTAAATTTGTTTACTTAAAAATTATACTAAAGACATCATTTTTTAAATGAAAGGTTGGAGTAGCACTTAAACCAGGGACTCCAGTGGATGTAGTCGTAGAATATGTTGATCTAGCAGATATGGTATTAATTATGACTGTAGAACCAGGTTTTGGTGGTCAAAAATTCATTGAACCAATGATGGAAAAAGTATCATGGCTTAGAAAAAATTATCCTACATTAGACATAGAAGTTGATGGAGGTGTTGGACCAGGAACTATTGATGCATGTGCAAATGTATATATTTCAATTTAGTAGATATATATCTTAATGTATACTCTAACCAAAAAAAACTACACACATGTGTATTTTTTTTTTAGGCTGGTGCAAATATGATTGTTTCCGGAACAGCCGTCATAGATTCTTCTGATCAAGCAAAAGTTATCAGAACTTTAAGAGATGCGGTAAATTGTGCATTGCAAAATAGTTGAAAATAAAAAGGAAAGAAAATTATCTCCTAAATATAAGATCGTTGTACTTATATATTACAAATTTTGGAAACAAGAAAAGAAATAGACAGATTTTTATAGTTTTTTATGTCATTACTTACAGTCACTTATATTCACTGATAGTTTAATTATTTACAAAATTATTAAACTGAGCATTTGATAATGGAGAAACTTTGGGAAACAATTTTGTTCTTAATTCTGCTAAAGTAATTAAAATAGCTTCTTCTGTTCTAATAGTTTTTGATCCTTGTTGTGGACAAGTATTGAAATAATGATCAAACACTAAAGAAGTATCATCCACATCCACATTAGGATCATTCTCTACTGCTGCTTCCAATCCAGATAATCCTCCAAATATTATTATAGCATGATGGTATTTGATACCTTCTGGCTCCACGTCATCAATAGAATTTCCTTTATCTGAAGTACCAATGATCAAATCGTATCCATCCTTATAAGAACATTGAGTTAATACCTCTGTAAGATTATTAGCTAATCTCACTGAATATCCCCAATATATTCCATTATTTGATCTGGGAATATCAGGTGGAACAATGAATCCTTTTAACTTTTTTGGATTTGGCTGGTCTTTAGGTATCTTCACTGTAACTCTTAATCCATCAGTTAACACTTTATCCACACAAACATCATTTAATAATCCTATATTTACGTAAGAACCTTTGCCAGGTTTAATTGGTTTATTTGTAACTATTCCTTCTCTATATAAAGACACATCTTGCTGACGTAAGTGATGTGGTGCATCCAAAGGATTTAATACTCCAGCATATTGCAAATCTTTATGAATTGGGAAGAAATATTTTCTTAAATATTGCGGACATTCAAGATACTGCAATATTCTAGCCAATTGCAAACATCCAATTCGTCTTTCACCTAAGACTTCGTCAGTTTTTATTTTTTTTTTTTCACTTTCAGTTACCTCTCCTTTATCATCAAAAACGACGATTTCGTTTATTTTGTAAACACACGCTGCACGTGCTATTTGCCCTGCCAAATATGTTCGTAATTCTGGCGATTGAGCATTGTCCAAAATCGAGCCTGGAACTGCAATACTCAAAGTCGAAATATCTTTTTTTTCGAATTGCTTTTCAGCAAGTTTAATCACTTCATTCTGTAATTCGTTTTTAGTTTCTTCTTTCTTTAACTTTTTTGCTAACCTCTCTTCCTTCCATTTTTTTCGTTGTTCTTTATATAAACGATTGGTTTCCTTCCAAGTTTTGGCTGTAGGAATTACTGTCGACATAACTCTTCAATATTTTTCAAATTCTTCTCTTAAACGTTGAGATATTTATAATTCTTCATAATTAACTTTTAGAAAATCTTCACAATTAACTTTAGAAAACTATTAAAACCAATTGAACACTATTTTTTCGTATATACTATATTATACTGCACTGTACTAACTTCTAACTTGGGGTGACGATTGACACTACTTTCACAACGCCACTTTTCAGTGTGTTTTTTCACTGAATAAAATCTTTCTCGAATTTTTATAAAATTTTTATAATTATATCAAATAATGGCCACAGAGGAAGGTTTTGAGCAGGTTTTTATACAATTTTTTACTTATATTTAATTCAATGTGCAATGTTTAATATAAAGTAACCTTAATTTTGTTTCAAACATGCTGAAAATAAGTTAAATAAGCATGTGTCTTTGAAATTAGCAAACAAAATTATCAATAAACGTTATTCGAGAAAATTCTTTTTCCTAGTTCGAAGATGAAGAGACAGAAATTCCGATTGGCGGAACTTTACCCGGCGGTAGAAAACGATTATTTTCGAAAGAATTGCGCTGTATGATGTATGGTTTTGGCGATGATCAAAATCCTTATACAGAGAGTGTAGATTTGTTAGAAGATTTAGTTATTGAATTTATTACGGAAATGACACATAGAGCTATGGAAATTGGTCGTACTGGACGTGTACAAGTAGAGGATGTTGTATTTTTAGGTAACAACAATATCTGTTTGGCTGTCTCAAAAGTTTCTTTTGTTTTAAATAATGGATATATTATACAATATTTTATGTTTTATATCATGTTATAGAATTATACATGAACCATTATCTTGATCTATTATCTTTTTTCATTTTTCCAAAAATCATCTGTCTAAAACTTCTGTAGTTTACGAAAATATTATTAAAGGTACATTTTTATGTCATTTATTGAGCTAAATGTTCCATCATAAAAAAAATTTTTTAATAAAAAGAACAAATAGTAATCAAGTATGTATAGTAATCAAATGCAATATTTGAAGAGTACACAGAATGAGGTAGAATAGTTAGTTAAATAGTAATCAATTTTGCATGCAATCTTACATGCAATTTTACATGCGTTACACGAAAGAAACTTTTGGGAAAACCTAGTATATTAACTTTTTAATACTATGTTTTAAATTATTACTTTTTTACAAATTAAAAATTGGTTTATTTAACTAAAAAAATCTTATTTTACAGTTAGAAAAGATCCCAGGAAATATGCAAGAGTTAAAGATCTCCTCACAATGAATGAAGAATTAAAGAAAGCTAGAAAAGCATTCGATGAAGTTAAATATGCAGGTACTGTTAGTCAGTAAATTTCATATCAAGGCATATAAAAAAAATTTTATTGTGTTTGAATTTATTATTTTATTAGAGATTTTTTTAAATGATTTTTAAAAGAGTTGCAGAATTTGAACATAAATGATCTATTTTAAATTATTTTGTTGAGTCTATATAATACTGTTATTAAAAATAACTATTGTATTATAGTAGTTGCACAGTTTTGATTTATTTACAAGTGTGGAATGCTATATGCTTGTGTGCTGCATTTTTATGATACTTCATGCTTGCTTATCTACATAATTAAAAGATTATGATATATTTAAAATTGCTTAAATCTTTTTTTATAACATATTTTTATATAATATTATAAACATATATAATATTATAAACATATAGTATAAAGTATGTAGTATAAACACATATTTTTGAGTTCCTAGAATACTTTAGTTTTATTATAAAATATGCTAATTATTTTGTGAATGCTATTTCATTTTATTTTGTAGTATTAATAATGTTGTATTTGTAAAATAGTATATAAAACAAAAATTTATATCTTTATTAAACATTTTATATTTTATTTTATTTATAATAGTTTTATTCATAATTTCATAATAATACATAATAATACAATAAAAATACATATATACACATATTTTATTTTAATAGCAAAAAATTTTTTCACAGCTCCATTAAATGCTGGTTTGAAATAATTATTTTTATGTATACTTTTTTATATATTTTCATGTATATTATTACTAACATTTATGTTTATTTTTTGCTATCACAAGCAATCAATTTTGAGCTATCACTCAATTCGTGTATTATAATGTTTTTTTTATTATTTTTAATTTATTCTATAAATTGCTCTGTTTATTTTTAATTATGCAGCATGAACAATGCATGTTTTAATTCAAATTAAATTGCAGTTAATTAAAAAAAACGATTTTGGCTTATGTATTTGCATGTATATTATTTCGTCTTTAAATAAGAAAAAATAAATTGATTAAATTTCATAGTTATGTCATACTTTGATTGATACTAGAAACAGCTTCTTTTGCTGACAGAATAACATGAGAGACTCCCACACCGTGATATGAAGAGCCACACAATGCTAAAGGTATTTTATGCGCAGAGATATAATCGTGGATGCGAGTTAAACGTTCTGCATGACCTATTATATATTGTGGAATACAGTCTTTCAGAATGGAAACATTATATGTCTTGGGATATTCATTAATGGATAAAAGTTGATTTGTATATTTAACTGCTATCATTTTTAAATGTTCTTCGGATGAACATTTATCAAAGTATTTTTCAAACCATGCACCACCCATCATTACTGTCAGTACCTGGATTTAAGGAGAAAATTGTATATATCGAACAAGATGTTTCTAGTCTATTATAAATGTGTAAAAAATTATTTAAATATTAAAGATCATTTTGTGTCATTGCAAGGCTAGATTTTTTAAAAATTTATTATTACAAAATATTAAGCTGGTGTAATAAATATTTATATTTATATATTACATACTGTCATTTTGGAATTTTGAGGAAGAGCACATGAATCAAATATTATGCCTAAAATTGGAATTTCTTCTTTTGGTGGAATAAGAACTCCAAAAGCATCTATTGGTAAAACATTTTCAGAAAACTGAAGATTGACTACAGCTATTGTTACTGTAGGTATATTATACAATTCTCTAGATAGTTCTGGATGTTGTTTTTGTATTAAATTAGCTAAATTTTTAGCAGGTAAACTTGATATAATGTGAGAATATTTTTCAACATTTCCATTTACAATTAATTCTACATAATTTTTATTAAATATAATTTGTTCACAATTATGTTTCATTTTTATATTCACTCCACGCTTTGTAATATTTTCGGCTAGTGTTTGAGGTAATTTTTCAAAACCACCTTCAAGTCCCCATACACTCCATTTTTCTATTCTAGCTCTTTCTACTAAATGCAACGATGTATTATTTGATTTTGCTATTTTCTGAGTTTCATTGGTGTTTCTTAATTTATTTTCTTTCTCTTTTTTTATATTTAATATTTCTGAAAATTTTTTTTGTACGAGGCCCATAAATACAGAGCCATATTTTTGTTCAGTTTCAAATATATTCGTCATGAAAGATTTTGCACTTAATTGATGTATATCACCACCACAAATTCCACATAATATTGGTGCAACCATCTTTTCAGAAACATCTTTGCCAAATCTTCTTTGTACAAAACTATATATGCTTTCATCATCTTTATGAACTTTTGTTGCTTTGAAATCATTCCACAAAAGACTGCTTAAAGAACGATTTAATAGTGTATTTTTTGTTACAATTCCTTTTAGAGAATTAGGTAAACAATGTAATACATTATCAGTATAAATATATCGATTTTTAGCAGCAGGATGATTTATTTTGATAGGAATAACTTTAGATGATAACTTCAATTCTTCTACTAAGTTCAATAAATCATGTGAGTTAGCTCTAATAACCCTTGGACCTGTTTCAAAGATTGTTCCATCAGGTTGTTTTATAGAACGTATCCAACCACCTATACGATTTGAAGCTTCTAATATAACCAGTGGGGTCAATTTTGGATTTTCAAGAGCATAATATGCAGCTGATAAACCGGATATACCACCACCTAATATTGCTGTCATTTTTAGTTATATAAATATATATAAATGTATGAATTTATATATTGTACAAAATTATATATTATATTGTACAAAACAAATTAAATAATACTTATGTTTTTTCCTTTTTATTATCCAAATGAATTATTTTGTATTAAATTAAAATTAGTATGTACTATATACATATATTGCACCAAATTATTTTTTTATTAATTTAATAGTTTATAAAAATAGAAACTTTATAAAAAAAATCAAATATTTGTGAATCTAAAAATGCACTGTCAATGTTATATAAATTTTGTTATTTCATGGACTAATTATATTGGTGCATTTAATACTCGAGAAAGGTTATACTCGTTTGAAAATGAATAGAACCATTGTGTACGTATGAAGTAAACATTCAGATACGATGTAAAAGAGTGATATTTCCTATTTGAAGATAAAAATTAATATAAATGAACGTCTTAATTTTGTATTTTTATCTTTATTGAATCGTTATTTTATTTTATATCTAATTACTTCAGTGAATGGAACAATCATAACATAATCAAATTTTTTGGAAACATCGTCGATATATCATTTAAAAATTTAATAAAATAATAATAAATTTATTTAATATAATCATTTCCATTAAACATATTTAATCATATACAACTAGTTTGGTTAAATTATATTGAATTGATTAATTGTAAGATAAAAATGGAAATGTCTGCTTGCGTCATTGAAATTATTATGCATGAATGATTATTTTAATATTCAGATATTCTGAGTTTGAATTGCAAACTTAAGTGTAACTACCTACATATTGTCTAGCACATTTTCATACTACGTCAATATTCTATAATTATATAATAGAATTTACACGGATTCCCGCCAAACCATACTTTACAGATTCGGTATAACGTACGTATTTTATCTTTTTAAAAATATTTTTTATAAATCTTTTATAGTTTTTAAATTGTAACAAGTTATTGATATTATAGTTATTAAAATTTGGAGCATCATTAATTATTACAATGAAAGACGGAAGCAGATTGTTGTCAATCCTCCTGAAAGTTTCTGAAAAAGCAGCAAATATTGCAAGAGCTTGTAGGCATAATGATGCTTTATTTAAATTGCTTGTACAAGAAAAATCAGAGGCAGAAAAGAATCCACGTTTTTTCCAAGATTTTAAAACTTTGGCCGATGTTCTTATCCAAGAAACGATTAAACATGACATAGGACTAGAGGTAAGTTAATAAAAAATGTTACTAGTATATTTGATTCTTTGTTTAACACCTATTTATAAATAATAGATTGAAAACATGTGTAATACTGTCACAAAATAATTATTTTAATACATTAAATTAAACATTATTAGATATATGTTTTCACAAAGAAAAAATAAAACAAAGATCATTGATAGAAAATTAGTTTCCAGAACTGGCTAAGGTAGTACAAGGAGAAGAAACTAATACATTCAGTAACGCCATGGGTGAATCTATAGTGGTTAAAGTATGTCCAACTATTGGAGAAACTACTCAATTATTAGCCAAAGTGATGGGTAGTGATATTGCAACTGCTGAATTATTAGCTACTGAAGTTCACAAGGACGTCCAATTTTTAGATATTCCAATGGTAGCAGAACTACCTTTGGGTTTTGATATTGACATTTATGATCTTGGTATATGGATAGATCCAATTGGTAAGAAACATAAGAGCATAATTCAAATATATTAAAATAAAGATTTACTATACATCTAACAGATATAAAATAATATTAATACCAATATTTGTTAAAACGATGTCTGGGAAATTTATATGGTAAATATCTTCATTCATCATCATGTAATTTAATTTTTATTATGTCAAATTCTATCTAAAGTTGCTTTGAATTTTATTGTTTCTCTGTTTTTAACAATTAATTCCTTTTTTGTTCATTGTTTATAATGATTTCTTTTATTTTATTTTATTATTATTATACACATATATTAATGGTATTGTCATGATATATAAACTTAAACAGATTATTTGTCAAACAATCTATTTGTTTTGTAGTTTAATAAAGCTTGCCTGAGGAGCAATTCGTGGAACTTTTGTAGATTCAACTGCTGATTATATAAATGGAGGTGAAAAGGTGGATGAAGCCACTGGTGTACATATGAGTGGTTTACGATGTGTCACTGTTTTGATTGGAGTGTATTTGAAAAGCACAGGCATACCAATTGTGGGAGTAATCAATCAACCTTTTTATACTAATGTGGATTTGCGGTAATTGAAATCTAATTTATATCTGTTTAATGTATACTCGTAAAATATTAACAGTTAATGAATATCACGCTTTACTTAATAGATGGAAAGGCAACTGCTATTGGGGATTTGTGGAAAACAATGTTGGAACATGTTCCATAGTGAAAGAATTCACTGACAAAAAGATAATCATTCTGAGTAGAGTTGAAGATGAAAGTGTAAAATCTAAACTTTTAGATGCTGGTTTTACTCTAGTAGAAGCAGCTGGAGCTGGTTATAAAATATTAAGTGTCGCTCTTGGACAGGTTGATGCTTATATTTTGTCCAAAGGATCCACATATAAATGGGATACATGTGGTCCACAAGCTTTTTTACGTTCTTTAAATGGAGGTATTATTGAATTCCAAGATTTTGTAAATAATTCTGATTTACATTACATAGATGTAAAATATTTATCCACGTCCACCAATTTTTCGAATAGCAATGGTTTGATAGCATATCGAAATTTTGAAACTTTGCAAATATTAAAGTCGATTTTATGTAAATAATGGTATTATGCCACATATTTATTCTATTAACTAGATGTTAATGGTGTTTGGAATTCATGCTGCATTCGTTATTAAAATGCAATTTTATTTATTTATTGTTAATTTTAATGTTTTAAATTTTTAAACTATTCGATAATATTTCAGAAGTATTAAATGTTTATCACGTAATTGTAAAATTGAAAGCTTTGAAACCATTTAGATACCAAATTTTTATTATATTTAATATATATTGTATTATTGATTTAATAATTCTAAAAACAGGTCATTCTTCTGTGATATTTATGTAAGCTAACTCCCATAGTTGTGCTTTCACTTTTATCAAAATAAAAATTTTAACGTCATAAATTAAATAAAAATAATTTCAACTGAAAATTTTAGAAATTGGAATTTACATTCAGTACATAAAAATTAAATATAGCTATTAATGATACTTAAACTGAAATAGTTAAACAGCGGATTACTTCATCTGAATTTTTAAATATTTGTTGTTTGCAATCTTTAAATGTGATTAACATTATAAATGAAAAATAATAAATATAAAGTTGTTATTTAAAGTCGTAGATAACATCATGTTATGTAATATTCGAAATAAATATTAAAAATAATTTATATGTTTCACTTACAATATTTTATCCTTCTTCATATTCCATTGTATTATGTATTTCAAATTTTATACATTTCTTTGAATATAACACTAAACACTAACGCTGTAATACTTAAACAAAATTATTCGGAAGTTTCAATAGCTTGAACGTTTAAACGGGTTGCTTCGACTAGTTTCGATATCTCTATATAACTACCTTCACGTAAGTCATTTCAAATACGTGAAGTTTACATTACAAAGTAGAATAATTAGTAGAATAGAGATATATGAATAGATAACAGATAGATAGATAGTAGAATAGAGATATATGAATAGACTAAGCATCTTACATTTTTAAACTGTCAGTATTTTATGAAAGAAAA